CCCCAACCCTGACCCCCTCAGTTCGGATCTAACCTGACCTAGTTCGCACATCCAGGGTGTTCACTCTACGTGGAGACAACATGTGGGTTGCCGTGACGTCATTCGCGATAAACGCTTTTGATTTATTTTAAGAATTTACTTCTCTGTTGTTGTTTTTTTCCTCAATATCCTACCCAACAACGTCACGGACTCCGGCTAGCACCAGGCTTGAATAAAGCGAGTTCTGTGTGTGAGTCTTTTGAGTTAAATTGCGTGATAGGTTCTTTAAAATAATGTTTTATTTCTTTCTCATGCCCAGCCTGCCTTTGTTTCAAAAATTGTATTTTACTTCTTCCTTATTCGAAGCGTGCTTATGCTCAAAACCATGACGTACATGTATTGTATTTCTTTCTCCTTCCCAGCCTGCTTTTACTCAAAAACATGTGTTTGGTTGTTTTTTTCTCATTCGCAGCGTGCCTTTGCTCAAAAACCTGCCTTCCGACAAACTGGCCAAGATGTCTGATGTCCTAGAATACGTAAGTCGTTGTACAGTTTGCCTTGGATCAGATTATTCAATAGTATATTCGTAAATGCAAGTGATCTACAAGTACGTGTCTTTGCTTGCAGGTGGTTGGGAAGTGCCACTTTTTGGTCCTGTAGGTCCTTTTTGTTTTTCCACAATTGTCCGTTTGTCTGTCCTGTTCCGTGTACTTTTAATTTTGTTGATCATGTTTTAACTTGTTTTAAGAATGGAAATTCCGGTTTGTCCCGTTGCAAGACACTTTAATAAGTGAGGGAGAACTATTCAAAACTTGAACACGCGCCTTTACACTACTGGAACCGCCCAGGACAGGCTCAGGAGCTTAGGAGTGACCTACCAAGGGCGACAACTCAACGTATGGATTGGGTTTATGTCAATATCCATATTCAAAACCAGTTCCAACCAAGTACAGAGACTGCCAGGCATTTTGGGCATAATGTTTATACGTTTAAGGGATCTTGGTTCACGGGCTTAGCGTCCTTATTATGGAGCCATTCTAACTCAGTTTTAGCGAAGAAATAATTGTTAAATTTGGGTGTAACAGCAGTGGCATTGGACCCACAAACGTTGATACACTTTTCTGTTCAACAAGAATTCATGTTTTATAACTGGTTGCATTGCTAGAAGAAAAAGAATGGTTAGAAGAAGAGGACTGTGATTTCATCAATTCACCATTCACCAAGTGGACTGATTTGATGGCGGAGGTGTGATGTTTTTGGTATGAAATGTCGGCTAATCATCACATACATTTGATCACTATTCACATCAACTTCGGAGGACAACAGTATTGTAACGAAATACTTAGTTCCCATACCTTTCCCTGTATACCAGGATATTATTATGGAATTTGCCAACATGACAACACCCGCCCCCATGTGGCCATGATTAATTCTTCCTGCAAACTCATCAAATCAATGTTCTGGACTTGCCTTCTGGGTCACCAGACCGTGCGTGGTTGGTGGGTGCTGTGGTGTTGTTTGCTCCTTCTTTCCTATCAAACAACTGTCGTCCTTATCTCCCCTCCTTCTTTTTTATGTTTGTTACTCTCTTGTGACACCTCTAATCTTCGGCACTTATATTTGTATGACCTTATTGTGTTGCAAGTGCCGTAAAACGCTTACTAAAACAAAAAAGGATCACCAGAACTTAACCCAACGAAACATCTTTGGGTTGACCTTGACCGAGGGAGTAGAAACAAGCCGCACCCCGTGCAAACTCATCAGGAAGTCGTGTGGGCTGCCCTTTGCGAGGAGTGGAAGAGTATTCCTCTGGTAACCATTAGCACACTAACAGCATAATGAACTCTCGGTTTGTAGAGGCAAATCAAGCCAAAAGAGGCCACGCGTAATACTGGGCAAACTTTGATTTCGATTTTGCAAGGGTCAGTTCGGACAAAGTTGCCTCCCTTGAATAATAAGTGACATGAGTGAATTTGCCTATTTTTGTCATGTCAGGTACACATAGATTGAATAGATTTCATATGTGCCGATTTTTACTTGGATGAGTTGAATAACAAATTGTACGTTGAATATGGGTGTGACAGAACTTTTGCAACTCGGTATATTTGTTGCAAAGGATGGGAAAAGATTGAAAGAGTTTCTCACAGTATTTGGTTGTTTGATTATTCATGTATTTGTTTTTGCTAGTTTATTCGGGGGGGGGG